TGGGGGGGTCTCTCTGATGGGGGTTACGGGGACAGGAAGTGAGGGGGATCTCAGTAATGGGGTCAGACAATGTCGTGTCATACAATACAGCTGGTGATCAGTACACAGAGGACCCGCACCGGGCGGAGTGTTAGTAAATAGCAGGCTGACTCCGCCCCCGTATGAAGACTCTCCGGGGCTTTCCCAGGTGCGCAGCCCAGCTCCTCATACCCCCCTCTCGGTCCCCTCCTCACCCTGCCGCTCTCCGTCTCCCGGCTCTTCCAGCTCTCCGCTCACTTCCTGTATCGGTCCGATCACCACTTCCGACACACCCACCGCGCTGCATTGTGGGGGATGTAGTGCGCGCTGCATTGTGGGAGCTCCGGTTACTGTACTCCGTCGCCGATCCGGCAGAGGGCGATCACACATCGGAAGCCAATGGTAAAAACAGACATTCCAAGGGGAGCCAATCTTGGAGGAGGAACTCTAAAGGGGCCCAATCATAGAGGAAGAACTCCGCAGACAACCAATCACAAAGTAGAAGCTCCCCTTAAAGCTAATCACAGTGAAAGGCTTATTCGGCAGGCCAATCAGAGCTGGCGATCTTGCTGGACGAAGTACAGGGAGCCAATCAAAGACTTGCTATAGACAGTAAATGGCACTGCGATGGTTGCTGCAGATCTACGAGGGAGAGTCAGAAATTATCCGCACTCCGGTTATATTATAGATAAACATTTGCTAATGGTGGACAAGAGAGGAAATCGTGTAGAATAATTACGTAATTGCCTTTTCTAATTCTACATCCGGAGTGCGGATAATTATTGACTCACCTTGGTCATCACTAGACAAGATTACATTGTGTGATTCCCGAGATGTTCAGTTACAGCCGAGATATAAGGAGAGCCGACCGATCACTGAAACCTCAGAAACGGTAACAACAAGTCATTTCCAATGTTTAATCATCTCAAGTGATCCTGCCATGGAGGTCCTTGTTCAGGTACTTCCTGTTATAGGGTGACAGCACTC